ACAGTAAGAGCGTAAGAAAAAAAGGTAATATGACGGGGGCGCAATAAAGACAAATCTCTTATCTAATAGACAAGTCCGTCCGTCCGTCCGTGGTGCTGTTTCAGCGGCCAAACCGTAAGAGATAGATATAGAGAATGTTTAAGTTATAAGTTAAGAATAGTCTGATAAGACTACAAACCGGATGTGAGTAACGTAGCACTTCCGGTTTTCGAGAAATCACGTGATTTCTATTTCAAACGAAACCACACAAAATCTCCGAAGTCCTCAATTAATTAAATACTTTTTTTTTTCTCGCACACATCGCGACCCTATCGTTAAGGAAAAGTTTTCAACAAACAAACCACACACTCGGAGTACAAAACACTGTAATAACGACATGTTTTTGATTCGCACAAGAATAGTGTTAGACAGTTATAAATAATACAACCTGATATAATGAGTTATCATTAGTGATGGAAAAGATTTGTTCGCCTTTTTAAGCACATTTTGTGCAGGGAGGAGGGTGGCAGTTGCACTGCCGGATTTAGGGGAGGGCAACCGGGGCGAACGCCCCGGGGCCTCCACAAACGGGGGGCCCCCACAATAGTGACTTCGGAAAAAAAAACTTTCAAATTCCAAATAGTAAACACTAGTACTAGAGGAGCTCGATGGCGCAAGTGGTTAGCGCGTTCCGCAGCGATCGTTGAATTTAAGCAACTTTCGCAGTGGTCGGTCATTGGATGGGTGACCATAATTTACTATCTCGAGCTCCTCCGTGCTTCGGAAGGCACGTTAAGCCGTTGGTCCCGGCTGCATCTGCAGTCGTTAGCACCCATCAACCCGCACTGGGCCCGCGTGGTGGGTCATGGCCCAATCTCCCTATTCCATCCATAGGGAAGCCTGTGCCCCAGCAGTGGGTACATTAATAGGCTGATGATGATGAAACACTAGTAAACATCTTTTCCTTTGATATTTTTTTTTGCTCTTTTACGTTTACCTACATTAACAGTACTTTGCACATCTAACATACATGATTATTTGATTATATTAATTTTAAATAACAGAAATCATTGATCTATATTTGTTCACTCCAATCAGGCAATCAGTGAAATATCAAAATCTCAAATGGCCCTGATAAGCACTTCCAATTCACTACCCATCTTGAGGGAGTACCCCAATCGCTTAATGGCTGAGTGGGGTGGTACTTGCCCGCAGAGCCGAATTTAAGTCAGGGCAGGTGGTGCTGTGGCCCAGGGGCCTCCACAACAGCTTAAGAAATAACAATATTTCGATGGGTTAACAAGAATACAAATCCTAAGTGGCCCGGGGCCTCCACAATCCTAAATCCGGCCCTGGGCAGTTGTAATTACGATATAAATATTTATTCCATAAAATATAGTTTTATACTCGAATTTTTTTTTGTCTATTAAATTCAAGTTACTGTTAAAGTTATCCGAGATTAACAATTATAGCTTAACATCCCACTCTTAGATGTCGATTGCCAATTCAAGGACTTTAACATCCCACGCCGAAATTAATACCCCAAGTTTCTTTGGACTAATTTGTAAAGTCGACCTATATATTTTTGTTTTTTATTGCCGACTTGTATCGACTTGTCCTTATAAGGTTACACTGTTAATATAGATCATGGTTGCCAACCGTAGATGTTTTTTATAGCTGGAAATCTCGTTATCTGGCTTTAGAACCTCGTACACCCCCCCCCCCCCCCTCTGGAATCAGTAAATTAAATTAAAGGTCAACGGGTCAACGAACCATAGACTGTAAATAAAATGTTTCTTCAGATTCAAACATCTAGCAGTTAAATGCTTAAAATGAAAATTGTAATAAACATAGTGTGGTTCCGATACTTACGATTTATGCTCCAGCATGTTGCTAAATAAATAAATAAATTTGTGTGACAAAATCTCGTACATAATTGTACGAGATGTGTAGTGTCCTCGTATCTCGTACGGACGACCAGAAATCTCGTACATAATTGTACGAGATGTGTAGTGTCCTCGTATCTCGTACGGACGACCAGAAATCTCGTACATAATTGTACGAGATGTGTAGTGTCCTCGTATCTCTTACGGACGACCAGAAATCTCGTACATAATTGTACGAGATGTGTAGTGTCGTCGTATCTCATACGGACGACCAGAAATCGCGTACATAATTGTACGAGATGTGTAGTGTCCTCGTATCTCGTACGGACGACCAGAAATCTCGTACATAATTGTATGAGATGTGTAGTGTCCTCGTATCTCGTACGGACGACCAGAAATCTCGTACATAATTGTACGAGATGTGTAGTGTCGTCGTATCTCGTACGGACGACCAGAAATCTCGTACATAATTGTACGAGATGTGTAGTGTCCTCGTATCTCGTACGGACGACCAGAAATCTCGTACATAATTGTACGAGATGTGTAGTGTCCTCGTATCTCGTACGGACGACCAGAAATCTCGTACATAATTGTACGAGATGTGTAGTGTCCTCGTATCTCGTACGGAAGACCAGAAATCTCGTATTTGTACGAGAATTCTCGTACGGTTGGCAATCCTGATATGGATTACTAAGCCATACTTGTGAATTGCTTATGTGTACAAAGAATGATGTCCGAATACTAAAATAATTTAGACAATAAATTATTTTCTAAATCTCGCAGTTGTTGAAATGAATATAAATTAAATAGCGCCGCGATATGATATATAACATAACATGTATGTGATATATAGCTCGTTTTTTTCACGCTCAATTTCATCAAATTACTATGCAGTTTAAAAACGCGATATACCTAATCTAAATTATGGGACTGAGTGACATAATAATTATTTAAATTAAATTTCAATCGTGCAAAGCCGGGGTTACTAGTTTATATCTTTATATAACTCAAAGGTGACTGACTGACATAGTGATCTATCAACGCATAGCCCAAACCACTGGACGGATCGGGCTGAAATTTGGCATGCAGGTAGATGTTATGACGTAGGCATCCGCTAAGAAAGGATTTTGATCGATTCTACCCCCACGGGGATAAAATAGGGAATGAAAGTTTGTATGAAACTTTGTCAATTTTAAACCGATCGGGTTGAGACTTTGCATGCAGGTATAAGAAGAATCATAGATGAATGTCATTGTGTATAATACAAGCCTGAGAACAAAATCTGTAGTCTACACTTCAACTCTACACCGAAGCGAAGCGAGGGCGGGCCGCTAGTGTATATAATAAATTGTATTTGTGCAAATTTATAGACATCCAATTTTGTTAAGAATAAAAGCGAACAAAATCGTTCAGCCTCTACTATTCTTAAACTTTCAGCATTACACATATTAACTTAAATAACAATAATCAAAATTTCAGTGGCGATGATAGCTGTAGGTATATTTAAGTTGGACATACACTCAGTAATGTTATTTAGTTACAACCACAAAATTATATTTCACGCTTTTATCACTTTATTATATTCGTAAAAACATAACATCAGTTTCCCACAAAATCCAGTCATAGAGCATATGAACCAGTTCATTCTGTCGAATTCTTATCATCCTAACCTCATATATTGTTTAAAATTAATTAAACAAGATCATTAATAAACAAATAACTATATTAGTTAGATACTTACAGGCTGATACAAATAAATTTGCGTACAGCGTAGTACAAAACAATGTAATAACTAAATGCTTAAAAATAAATAAAAACATAACTATAATTGCTATTTCTTCTTTCAAATGTTTAATACTTGTAAAAGTATTCATTTGACATTGTGGGTTACCTATAATGCGAAGAGATGGCGCTGCCTTGCAGCTTAAGAATGGCTAGAAGAATTTCGACGCGGTCCGTGAGGGCCGCGGTAGCATAATTGGTCAGTGCATTCGCCCGGATTGCGAAGGGTGCGGGTTCGAGTCCCGTCCGCTGCCTGGTCCGCGTGGAATTTTTTCTAGTTATATTTTCTTTAGAATAAAGTTAAATTCAAATTCAATCTAGATTTGCATACGCCTTACATAGTTTCGTAACATGCGGTCACAGTATCGCGCACAGGTGAAGGATGCTCGGCTGCGCACGCGCAAGGATGTGCCAATTGTTACAACATCGCATCGATCACCTATCTAGATCGATAATTACGATTACTCAAAATTAACGCGTATCAGGATACAATTTAATGTTTAATAATATGTTCTGTGGTGTTATCATTATCATTGTATTATGAAACCCCCGTTGATTATATAATTGCATTTATTATGAAAGACAACATTATTCGATAGCTACCGTTCTTTTCATCAGCAAAATGTTCCAATTATAATAAACACTAGCAAACCAGTGAACCAAATGTTCACCAAAACCTGATTTCTCGAAAACCGGAAGTGCTACGTTACTCAAATCCGGTTTGTAGTCTTATCAGACTATTCTTAACTTATAACTTAAATATTCTCTTTATCTATCTCTTACGGTTTGGCCGCTGAAACAGCACCACAGATGGACGGACTTGTCTAATAGATAAGAGATAATTAATATACGTAATGAAAAAATACTAAGTCACCTTTTTAGGGGTAACGAGGGTTTTTATAAGTTCATTTTTTATTCTTTAAGTACTCACCCTATCATACATTTACCAGGATGCTTCCATTAAACAAGTTCATTGCTTTTTTTTATTGATTATTTGTGCGGAAACTTTAAAATAATTTATTTTAAAGTTAAAAAAACTGTTTGTGCCAACAACCTTTGCTTAAACTAAAATCCTTTGTCATTCCCATGAGTAACAGAAAAGGATATAGAGTCACATTCTTGTTCTGGCTCAGCGAACCAAAACCGAGGGTCATTGTTTAAAAGGCCCACGGAACGAAATATTTAATGTATTCAAAGTAATTTACGAACCAGTTGCATGTCTTAGAACCTTCTCAAAACCTTATCTTACGCCCAGTTTACCTCGATTATGCATACAACGGCACCAGTCACATCACGATCTGTGGGCGAACAACTTTTAAATCAATGCTAACGTGGCTGTTTCTCTCTTTACAGGCGAGAGCTGCATAGAGAAGCCGCTCGCGACTTTGTGGAGGAATTATCAGCAGTCTACGAAACCCGATGTGGTGATGAAACTGTCGGTCACCAACTCCGGCCTCAAGGGGTTCACGAAGGAACACGGCCTCACCGAGTACTGGTCCCACCGCATCACCTACTGTGCCAGCCCACCGCACTACCCCAGGCTATTCTGCTGGGTCTACCGCCACGAGGGCAAGAAACTCAAACACGAGCTTCGCTGCCACGCCGTTTTATGCACCAAAGAAAATATGTCAAAGAAAATAACAGAAGAACTACAAATCAAACTGAAGCAAGCGTTAGTCGAGTTCAAAAAGGACAGAATCTCAAAACAGAACGCTAGACTCAGTCTAGCCAACAGCATATACGACAACCCTAGCATGCCTCGACGGAAGATCCTTTTGAGTGTTGGTGCTATGAACTACCGCCCGCCGCTAGAGCGATCCAAGTCAGCACCTAAACTCGGTGCCATTGAAGAGCTCTGCTCCGAAGAAGATGAAGAAGAAGCCGAGATGAACGCCACTCAGACTATCTGCAACAACTGGACGGATAGTAATCTCAATAACATGGATATCTCACACACGCTCGACAGGCGACGGCCGGAGATGAAATCTCCCCGGAAATTATCGTGCCCAGAAGGTGTCATGGAGAGAACTCGATGCAACTCAGATTCGAGTGACCTACCTGTATTTGACGACCTTCTGGAGCTTCTCGTGCAAGAGAGAAATAGCAACGCAGCTGACAAACATACTGATAATGATACTAGTCATGAAGATAATGCGGAGTCGAGGTTGCAGACTCTCGAATCTATCGCCGAATCCACCGAACTTAAGAGCGAGACGTCTGATGGCGATGGCAAAAGTTTGCAACGGCTACCTCAAAGTAACTTCCTCGTCTCGGATAGTGACGACGGATCCGTTTCTTCGGGCTGCGAGACTGCGAGCACTGTCACCTCGTCCGACACTGAGCCATCGTCGCTTCCCTCGAACTTCCCGCAAGAAGAAATATTGAAAGAGCACTCGGAGAGCGAGGATGAGTGCAGAGCGACATTTGCCGAGACGCTGGGATTCGACCGCGCCACCAGAGGCAGCATGAGAAGCTACTCGAATGCAATGCATGTTATGAACAATGAGGAGGACCTCCCAAGTATCTCCTCTACGGAGGAAGTTAATCATGTGCCCATAGGAGAAAAGAATACCTTCCGTCGAAGGTCCACGTATCCCCCGCTGCGTGTGGAATCCATTTTAGGTGGTTTCGAAAGCAAATTTGAACCCCTCATCGACAATCTAACCGATGTTGACAGTTTACACTCGAGCACTGACAACGAGGTCTTCAAAAACGTCGGGGACAACGACAGTGCTTGCAGTGATGAATCAGGATATTCTGAACTTCTAGATAATGGTAAAGATAGTATAATAGGAAACACTATTATGGTATAAGCCATTTGTAGATGACGAAATCATTCAATGATTGGGTAACTGAGCAATGCACACTTTAGATCTAAGAAAATTTATTATCATTAAGGCGATTGACCTTTATGTAACTACGATGAAATTAGCGACAGTAATTGTAAATAACAGGGTACGTATTGTACTTTATCCAGTTAATGTATTAATTTCGCATAGATGTATATATTTTGTTTTAAGTTCACCTTTTATGGTTTTTATAGAGATTTATCAGATATATTTTGTATTATTTACTAGTTGCTGCAATGTTTTGACCACGTCTATTGTTATGTTGTCCACTTCTGTATTTATTGTTAGGATTTAATGTTATCTCAGTCAGGTCTGTAGATTATTACACATTCCACGCAAATTTAATGTAACAGACCACTCATCCATCTTGATGATTGTAGGGAAAAATATTGGGTGAAATTAAAATACTTGAAATCATTGTTCCTCTTTTCATTAATCCCTGATTAATAAATAAGATTGTTTCAAAAACTAATTTCATCAATATCTTAGCTATGTCTAATTTAAAGATAACTAACGGGATAATTGGCCATAATGACATTGCTAATCAGGTTTCATGATTTTTTTATAATATTACCGTTATCTCCCGTTGACTTATAAGTTAATATCCCCATATCAGTAATAGCCGAAATACAGACAAAACAACTATTGAAACGAAATGTAAATAATGATAAGGTGCATCCAATAAACCAATGATTATCAAGTGCCATGGTACCTACATTTTTCTGGGAATGAAATTTCATGACACCTTAATCAAATAAAAAATAGTAAAATTATGATTTTTATTTGTTTTAAAGCATTTTACTGCTAGATGTTTAAATCTAAAGAAAAGTTTTACTAGAAAAAAATCCACGCGGACCCGGCAGCGGACGGGACTCGAACCCGCATCCTTCGCAATCCGGGCGAATAAGTATTCATTTTGACATTTACTTACCTACAATGCGAAGAGATGGCGCTGCCTTGCAGCTTAAGGCTAGGAAAATTTCGACGCGGCTAATAGGGCCGTGGTAGCATAATGGTCAGTACATTCGCCCGGATTGCGAAGGATGCGGGTTCGAGTCCCGCCCGCTGCCTGGTCCGCGTGGTTTTTTTTTCTAGTAAAACTTTTCAATAGTAAAATTACAAATAATAATAAATATTTCCAACAGTCACACCGATCAGCCAAGCCCCAAAGTAAGCACTGAAAGGCTTGTGTTGGGGGATACTAGAGTAACAGGTTGAATACATATACTGATACATACATAAATATATTTATATAGAAATACATAGTAAACATCCATGACTGGAGTACACATGCTCGTATTCATCACACAAACATCTGCCCCCACCAGGACTCGAACCCAATTGTGAATTGTATTCCAAGAGGAAACGGCAGGTAAACGTCCTATAAAAGCGATTTATAACAGAACAAACACAAGTTTTTTATAGTTAAGTTAATAAATAGCTCTGCTTCTCCTGATGTAAAGTGGTAGAAAAGTCCAGACGCGAAGATAGCTGCTGCAGCAATTACGAACTTCTGCAAAGGATGGTTTCCTCAATTTACCAGCCCGCACAAATATTCCTACACGTCTCTTTTAAAGATACCATGTTACTGTGAGCTACATTGTAGGAAAGAGGGAATACGTGCATCATCAGCCTACTAATTTTCCCACTGCTGGGGCACAGGCCTTCCTTATGGATGGAATCAGGAGATTGTGCCATTACCCACCACGCAAGCCCAGTGCGGATTGGTGGGTGCTAACGATTGCAAATCCAGCCGGGACCAACGGCTTAATGTGCTTTCCGAAGCACGAAGAAGCTCGAGATAGTAAATTTTTGGTCACCCATCCAATGACTGACCACTGCGAAAGTTGCTTAACTTTAACGATCGCAGCCGAACGCGCTAAACACTTGCGCCATCGAGCTCCTCGAATACGTGCGCGGGCAAAGAATTTCACATGCGAATAGTACGACAAATAAATTTTATAATCATCCACAGAACACGGAGAGAGATTGGTAAGACCTTGTGGGCGGTGCCGGCGCGCCTCAGTTATGTGTGAGCAAATGCTCATAACTTGACCAAAACTTGGTTCTGATTGTGTCGTTGCTCTCGGGTGTGAGCGTTTGTTGTCGCGTCGTTTGATTGGCTATTATCTATTAGTTGGAAGAAGTTTAGTAGGGGTTAGCCAGCGACATCGGTTCCTGTAAAAACGGTCTATAAGCACCATTCTAACCTCTTTTTGTGTTCTGTGCATTCGTCGATGCATTTTTATGGAGCATAATTAACCGAACGCTACACCTGTCCTAACGTCAAAATGTCGTGTTAGCGTAACAGAAACACCACATGCCGTCGTGATCCAAGGCCGCGGCAGATCGGCGGACCATGACAACAATTCCCACCTGGAATGACGACCTCCGTGGCCGAGTGGTTTGTACGCCGGGTTTCATGGTGTCGCCGACTCGAGAGGTCCCGGGTTCGAATCCCGGTGGGGGCAGATGTTTGCGTGATGAATACGAGCATTTGTACTCCAGTCATGGATGTTTAATATGTATTTCTATATAAATATACTTATGTATGTACAGTATATGTATTCTATCCGTTACCTTAGTATCGCATAACACAAGCCTACAGTGCTTACTTTGGGGCTAGGCTAATTGGTGTTAGTGTTGGAAATATTATTATTGTTAATCAAAAGTGTAAGTTTAATAGTTTACGGCAAATTTTATCAGGTACTTATTGTTATAATAATATTATTTTTTTAAACATGTAACTGCTAGATGTTTAAATCTAAAGAAAATTGGGTTATCTACAATGCGAAGAAATGGCGCTGCCTTGCAACTTAAGAAAGGCTAGGCCGCGGCAGCATAATGGTCAGTACATTCGCCCGGATAACGAAGGGTTCGAGTCCCGTCTGCTGCACGTATTTTTTTTTAGTAAAATTTTCTTTAGGTACTTATTGTATCAGCCAGATCATAAGATAGGTAATTGCCATTGAGTGATTGATACAGAAAGTATTTAAATGACCTATTTGATATGAAATAATAAATAGAATAGGATGAGGAGTACGATAGCGCTATCTAAATATATAATTTACGTTACGTTCGTTCCCTAAAATATGGTTGAGCGTAGCAATGGCTGGTTCATGCGTCATGCTAGTGAACGGGTGCTGCCAGCGGGGGATGAGTCTGCTCTATAGTGCGTTACTATTGAGATTGTTATGTATTATTATACCTAATTACTGATGACACAGCAATCAAAATGTGAGTGGGCGTTGTTTTGGTAGCGACCGACTGCGCAATGCAAGAGCGCGAAGCACGACGCGCAGGCAGGGTATAGTGTTTAACAGTCTATATATGTATGTTTGTTCCTTTGTGGCACACTAGAGACCAAACGCGTGGACCGATTTTGATGATTTATACATCAATCGATTCGTTTTAATCATGGGAGTGCTACTAAAGATATGATAGTAATCAAAATTCAATATGGGGACAATTAGGTGCCATATTGTGACGAAGTAAAAAAAATAAGTTGACGAAATATGTCGAGTGGGGTATCATTGTCTAGATAATCGAAAATCATGATAAGGTTTCGTACACCATTTTTCATTTTATGTGACTGTTTAGAATCTACAACGATTTAAAGTTGTATATTAACCACTTACGCTTTTAATTTCAATCTTACGTTTGTATGGATCTTTGTTACTCTTTCACCTAAAAAATACTAAATGGATTATAATGAAACTTTACAATAATATAGCTCATACATGATAATAATATACAGATAACAATTTATGTAGTCATTGAGTGAATTGGCCAAAATATAACAATAAGTGTCACGTAAGACGGAAAAAAATCTTCCATCTGCGAGCCATTTTGGCCTGCACTTCAAAAACAATAAAAGAACACACGAATATAATGTATAGTGAAAATGTATCTCTTGAATAGTTCTACAACAAAGTCCGCGACACCATATATCTATTTTTAATATGCAAGCCATTATCGCTAAAATAGTGAATTTATATGAAGAATAAAATAATGTATAAATTTATGTCCATTTCCAAAATGTACATTTTGTATTAAGCAATTATTTTTATCAAAACAAATACTTTTATCGCTTTTGATATTTAAAGACGATAAACTTTGCCTTTTACACTATGTCATTTCGACAAATATTTTTTTAAATATTATAATAAAGTTACAACGATGAAAAAGTGATAGCGCGGAGTACTATGCAAGATTAGACTGCGGGAATAGTGGGAGAAGAAATATAATTTCGGTGTTTATAAACGTAGATAAAACCTAGGCGAAAAAAATGATAAATTTAAATAATCAAAATACCTGACTGCTAAAATATTACTTAAAATGAAAACTAAAAAGAGATAAAAAAGGTAAATTTAAAAAATCAAAAAACCGAATACCGAAAACCTATACTTATACTTGAAATAAAAACTGAAAAGAAAAAAAACAAGTCCAGTAGTCTATAATTCTGTTAATAAGGAACAAAGCTACTTTAACAGTCGGGATCCATTAGATATTCAAGAATACATAATATTTTTCAATAATGGGGCCTGTGCCCCAGCAGAGTGGTTTGTACGCCGGGTTTCATCGTGTCGCCGACTCGACAGGTCCCGGGTTCGAATCCCGGTGGGGGCAGATGTTTATGTGATGAATACGAGCATTTGTACTCCAATCATGGATGTTTAATATGTATTTCTATATAAATATACTTATATATGTACTGTATATGTATTCTATCCGTTACCCTAGTACCCCATAACACAAGCCTTACAGTGCTTACTTTGGGGCTAGGCTAATTGGTGTGATTGTTGGAATAAATTAAATTAATACTGTATGTTTGGGTCTCATAAAAATGCTCAAGGTCGCACAGCGGGCAATGGAGAGAGCGATGCTTGGTATCTCCTTCGTGATAGAATCAGAAGGTGGAAATCCTTAGAACTAAAGTAACCGACATCGCTCGAAGGTGGGCGGGACATATAGCGAGGAGAACCGATGGCCGTTGGGGCGGAGAGGTTCTGGAATGGCGACCACGCACTAGAAGACGCTCGGTGGGAAGACCCCGCACCAGGTGGACCGACGATCTGGTGAAGATCGCGGGAAGCCGATGGGTGCACGTGGCATAAGACCGATCGAGGTGGAGGTCC